TTCAAAAATTAATGTCACCGTTACCCAAATCGGGAGGTCTTATTTTGCATGCGTGAGATAAGTTTAGTCCTAATTAAAGTTTTTGTTTAAATTAATTTACAGACCCAGGTTTTGGATTGTTTGAATCGATAAGGTATGCAGTATGTATAGTAAGTTAAAGTATCATCTGCACTAAACGGTTTGGACAAGTAAACATGAACGTATGGATGGTTATATTTATGCTTTTTTTTGGTATATATATATATTTGGTATATATACATTTGATTTTCAACCCAAATGTACAGTTTCTTTTTCCTGTTATTCTGTCAGATAATTAAGATTTACTTAGTAATTCCAATAATTTAACTTATTAATATATAGTTAGTATTTGTCTGGTTAATTAGTATTTATCTGGTTAATTAAATTATTATAAAATAAATAAATCATAAAATTAACTATATGAATGTCAAATGAATTAAAGTATTGAAAAAAAAAAAAAAAATTAATATATAGTATATTTTTAGTTGCTATAGTTCCCAAACATCAATTATGAGAATATGCTCCTAATGATATATGATTATTTATTACTTTTACCCTTACATTATGTATTATTAATTACAATTATTTATTATTAGGTTAATCATTTACACACACACAGACATATAAATGTGATTTTAAAAAAAATATTGATTAATAACGCATAAATAGGGCCCTTGTTATAATCCCAATAACAGATACAAAGCAAACCAAATTTTTATCAACTACAAAAACCTATATCTTATATTTATTTTTTCGTAACGTTTCAGCCTCATTTTGGCCATTTTTAAATATATCGCTTTTATATATGGTTTAGAACCTTAATGAGTACATTTTTATTTTTTGACAAATGTTTAAAATAAATGTCAGTTTTTCATTCAAACAAAAATCCTCGTCTCTTTTTGGTGTTTTTTTTTTATGCACTTATAAATAACTTATTTAGTCACTAGCGGATCCAGAATTTAATTTTTGGGGAGGGCTTCAGCCCGAAAGCTTTTTTTTCATATACATAAAGATAATTAATTTGAAAAAAAAAGAAAGCAATGGACTACCTATATGAAATGGTTGTTTAAGTGATTCGTGAAGTCCTATTAAATGTAATTACACGAACAATAATACTTTGATAGATGGTTTTTAATATTTTTTTCTATAAAACATGGTTATATTTTACCGTTTTTTTTGGGGGGGGGGGATTCAGCCCGAAAGCCCCCCCTCCCCCGTAAATCTGCCTGTGTGTATAGTTATATAGTTATAAATAAACACTTTACTCAGAAATACAGTTTTTGGAAATGCAGCACTTAATCAAGCGTTTATTACGCATAAATTAGAGTTCTGCACATTGCAGTTAGTGATGAATGGTTAAATGATGTGTTTTTTTTGCACTAGGTGCTTACCTATATAACTGTATAAAAAAAAATAAAACATTACCAAAAGGTGGCGAAGATTTTTGTCTGAATGAAGAACTAACGTTTTTTTAAAAATACGATCAAAAATTAAAAATGAAATATAATTTAGTAAAGGTTTTTGTTGTTAAATATTTTTCTTGCTTTGTATCTTTTATTGAGATTCAAGAAAAAGTCCTATTTACTCATATTAATCTGATATCTTTTTTGGATATATATTTATTTATTTAATTGTACCATTAGTTAATGCAAATAGATTTTTGTTTTGTGATTCGATTAGTAATACAGTAGGATCCCGCTAATCGGACCCCTATTGCAGGAACATCCGTTTACTCCAACAGGATTAAAAAAAAAAAGTAAAATTAAGATTAAATTTTGTACGAAGCACAAAAAGAATTTAAAGAGAGAGTTTGACTTAATCTGTGGTTTGCGATGAAAAAGTACCGTTTAGCTGGGGACCTTGGACTTGAACCTTGGACCCAATAAACGAGAAAACATTTTATGTGGTGTTTCTAGACAAAGAATTAATTTTCTACTTCTAGTTTCTTAATTCATCGCTGAGATCACTGATAAGCATCGGAAATCCATCAATGGATTAGCGCTGAGTTTCAGAACGTGTTCTATCTATGTGCCCTTTCAATATATCAAGCAACAATCAGTTTTCATTGTTTATTGTTTAGATACAGCGCATATATATATATATATATATATATATATTTATATATATATATATATATTTTTTTTTTTTTTTTTTTTTTTTTTGGTCAAAGTTGCCTGCAGTCACTCTCAGGCAATACATCGATATTTCGACGCTTGATTTTAATCTTAGAAAGACAATAAAGAAAATAAATATACAATCGTGAAGTCTTTGATTTGTAATAGCTCCTATAGCAACAGTTAAATATTATTATATTGCTTATCGCAAAAAAAGTATCAATTTATTTTTAAGTTTGTTAATAAAAATAAATAAATACTACTTTGAACTAATAAAATTGTAAAAATATAAATAAAAAGGATAAGAAATTAGCATATTAGATTTATTAGCAGTTTTTCTTCCCATTGCAGCAAAGCGGCTTAAACAAAAAAAAGTTAACGAATTATTGAAGGAAGTTTGTCGACTGTTCTACATATTATGGGTGATAAATATTCAGGACGCAGTCTTTTTTTTTTTTTAATTTAATTTTTTTTTTTTTGCCAACGTTTCTACGCAAACGTGTGGGTCATCTTCAGGGCTTGGTTTAAGCACTGAGGATGTTCAAGTACCCAATAAAAAAAAAATTAACAAATATCAGAGTGGTTCGAAGTAAAAAAAAAATTCCTACTTGACTTCATTGAAAACTTATATATTGAAAATCAGCAAAAAATCGGTTTTAAAGAATATTTTGATTACTCTTCGAAATCTTAGCTGTCACTCTTGACCTGGCATCCTTCTGATCCCACGACCTTCTTCCGCCTGATAGAATCCTTTAACTTGGCTACAGACAATTTGAATAGAGAAGTTTTGATCCGGAAGACGTGTTCTCTCCTTCCTTGATCAATCTGGAAGGCTGGAGATGTAACACACAAGATAAACGAACAGACGTATTTGTTAGTTCACAGACGGAGTTCAATATAATATCCGCATTTTAATGATATAATATTCATGTATATATATATATATATATATATATATATATATATATATATATATATATATATATATATATATATATTTCTTTTTTTTATTATTTATGAAATTTACAACTGTATTATATATTAATATAATAGAAATGCATCTAGTAAATACAAACAGAGAAATATAATAATACTCTGATAGGCTTTTTGAGAAACTACCAATTGCTATGTAGCACTTTAATAAAATTACTACATTAGGAAATCTAGAGGCCAAGGTCTTCTCAGACGCCTAGAAGAGTTATCAGGTATCGAAAAAGAAGCATGGTTAGAAACGATAGGGTTCGGATGGTTCTGGTTTATTAAAGAAGATTGGGACAAATCAGAAAAAAATAAGGAATATTTCATAAAAGGTTGTTATGGATAATTTTATTAGTAAAGGGCATAGAGGGTTTTACGAAGGATCTTGGATTTTATGATTACGAGAGGAATTCGATGGTTTAATGGAGTCCCAAAACTCAACTCAGTCAAGTTCAAATAGGCCTTATTATAATCATGGATACGAGTCTTTTGTAATTTATCGAAAGCTCAGAGCGTTTCTCTGGCAAGCGCTGAAATAGCTGGAAATACTGATAATTAAAGGCAGGATTTTCATGCAAACAATTTTTTTTTATCGCTAGTTTCAAATTCAGACTAATCACGACAGAAATCCGAATCACGAAGTGAACGTTCTGTTGACAATTGCAATTTAGACTTAACTTCATTTAAAAATTGAATTAATAATATTGCCACAAAAATAAAAATTAATTTAAATAATTCTTGATACGTGCTCAATCAAACTATTTCGGCCACTAGTTCTGGTTTCGCCTTCCTAAAGGAACCTGGTTCTAACTTCCTTAAATGTTTGACCAAAACTAACTCTAAGGCAAGTAAAACTGGTAAGGCAGCAACAAATAAAATCATAAAAATTTACTTAAAAACAACATATAACGAAATATTATAAATCATGTCTCAAAAAGGTTATTCGACCGTTGATATAGTTATTTTGATGATCAGAGTCCATTGTGAACTTGAGAGTGTCATGGCAGAAAGCATATGACTTCTTTGTTGAACTTTTAGCTGCATGCGATATGCCCTGTGCATCGCTATGCCCTAATTTGTAAATTGACCTAATTGCAGGCCTCTTAAACGACAGCTCAGATGATTCGCACATTATATGGAGATGCATATGATATTCTTCCTAAGTAATTATCGTTATACATATATATATGTATATATATACAAACAAAAAATCTTTGGATCCGCTACTGATGTAAATAAACACTCAAAAACCAATATATATATACATATACACTTGTGAGTATAGAAGTAATATATATTCTAAATCAATGTATAGTTGAATAATGTTTAAATATAATGAAACCCCTCTAAAATTTGGTTCAACGTTGGCTTCACCGAGTTGACACCTAAGAAGGATCAGAGTTCATTATGTCTTAAGATAACCCTGGTTGTTCGCGTTTATTTTTTGTTTTTTTTACCCGAACGATATAAAATACAACTGGTGTAGTTGTATTGATTTTTATTTGTTGTTTTAATTTATCGGAACTTCTGCTGTATTAATAGAACTACTCAGTTGTTGATTTACAGTTGAACCATGGGGAAAGGGAACGGCCTGAAGTGGTGTTCCATTATGGTCACCCGAGCGACACATCCACTAAGGCATATTATCCCTACTCCAACAATAATTTTTTTAATAGATTTTAATCTCTTCCATTCGCTCCGGCATGCATTAATGTAATTAACTGAGCAAGTGGATCAAATGATCCGTTATCCGTTGATTTATTTTATTTTTTTTATTTCTTGATAATCTGATAATTGAGTGTTTGTTTACATGGACAACCTATTTGCATTCATAACGTACACGAGAAATGAGAGGGGAATTATTATTATATTCTATTTATAATGGTGGAGATGCTCGAATTACGATTATGCTCGAAAATACCATCAGCTAGAGAAGTTGCAGCTAGAGTGAGGTACACAACTTTTTTTTTTTTATATTTGTGGTAATAGGCCAAACGTTCTAGGTCTAATCAGGGCTAATTGAAGACGATATAAAAACTTTATGATAATGACAAAGAGATAGAAAACATATAAGCAAGAAGTTTTTTCCTATTCATATGTGCAACTGTATAAAAAAAATACATCTATTAAATTTGCAAAAATGAATATGATGATATGAAAACACTCTAATATTGGTAGCACTCTAATGATACATCTACATTAGGAGATCATGGGACCATCTTCTCAGTACCGGCCTTAAACATTCGGCTCTCCCGGGTAATGACGTCATCTCTCCTCCTTATAAAATAAATGTATTTCTTAATCTGTTTTATATTATGCAATATTTAAATTTTATTTCATTCAAAGTTTCTCTAATATAGTTGCTTTATTGATACGCTAAAATTGGTTATTTTTATCCGTATAACTTTTTTTTTATTTATTTCTAACAAGTCGCAAAAGCCCCTGAAGACGGCCGGCTCTCCCAACAGGTGCCCCTAGACGTTGGCACCCCGGGGAAATTGCCCCGGTTACCCTACCCTAAGGCCGGCACTGCATCTTCTTTTCAGACGCCTGGGAGGGTTATCAGGAATCTAAGGGGAAGCAAGGTTAGAAACGAAAGGGTTTGGATGGTTAAAGTTTATTATGGAAGGAAAGGTATCTGGATTGGGCCAAATCGGAAACAGAAGGTTCATTAAGGTCGTCAGTGTTGCCCAAAATCGGTCGCACTTTGCAAGACCAAGACCATGACCGCCTACTTGTAGCAAGACCAAGACCAAGAGAGTATTGATATTTTTACACTGATCTACCACAAGCTGGTTTACATTGCTTCAGTTTATCAAAGACTCTAATATTTTCTTTGATCAATTTTCAGGAAAATAAATTAAATTAATTTTTTTTTTGTTTCTTAATGGACATATTTAAGATATAAAAACTTTTCTGATATAGGTAGGAGGAAGGTCGTGTAAGTAGACATACCAGATTTTTTTCTCGATCTTGTGATCAAATTATCATATGATTTAAGTGGAAAACAAATGGTCATTCATGATCTCATCAATTAATTAATTTAATGAGAAAACGCCCATTTTCTGAGAGTTTTCGTGGATAAAAAGTTTTAGATTACGATAATATTAGTGTTGCCCAAAATCGGTCTTGATCTTGCACTTTGCAAGACCAAGACCAAGACTGGTAAAAAAAATCGATTTTTTAAATAAAAATTAAGGCAAAATAGTTACTAATAAACGACAATTTTAGTTACTATATGTTAATAATAGGTATAACCAATATACTTTTGCATTTAACTCCTCTAATTTTTCATTCGGGCTTAGTTATGTTTCTCCTATCTAAAAAATTACAGTAATATCTCTATAGTAATAAGCTAATAAGTAACTGCAAGACTCTTGCGCAAGACCAAGACTGAGTTTGCAAGAAGACTCGTCTCTGTCTCGCATTTGGGCAACACTAGATAAGGTGAAGCCATTCACGAAGTTTTAGGCTTTTGATAGACGAAGTTGTTAATAATTCGATGAAAAGGGTTATATGGCAGACTATTTATTTAATTCGTCGTTACGCATTATTATTATCTATCAACCCTTGAATGGTAACTGAGAGCAAATCATTTTTTTACCATTTTTTTTTTTTTTTTTTTTTTTTGTTTCTAGCCTCTAAGTTTGATTGAATCTAATTCAAATTTTAAACTAATCATATAATGTAGCAGTTTAGTTTTTATAATCTTTTCGTGTTATTTTCATTGACGCCCTTTTGAAGCATGCGAAATGGGGATGGGGTATATCTTGACTTAACCATAAAAAACCTAATAATGGAAATTAATTATTTATATTATTAAATAATTAAATGTTAAATAAGATTTTAAAATGTGTTTATATTTATTAAACTTTTCTATGTTATATATTTATATTTATCCATTTGGATAGAATGGTTAGCTATTGTATTCGATATAACATAGAAATGTATTTCAGTAGGATTGCTTTATAAATAAAATATCTCTCTCTCTCTCTCTTTTGTATTTGTATTTCATATATGTTTCGTACGTTTAATTACAGTATTTTAATTGGTATACAATTTATCAACCGTACCAGTAATCAAAACGGTCGTCTAATTATTTTTTAAATAATATTATTCTTGGCACCGATCGATGTTCCAGCCTGACATTTTTTTTTTTTTTTAATGCATGAAACTTAATCGTACTTGTCTCAAAATAGTGGTAAGTTTATGAGGTTACTGAAGGCTTCTTAAAAAGAGAAAATATAATCGAGAATTAAGTTTTATTCTGGAACAATTACGTCAGTTTCTTGAAAATAATGAAAATTTTCAAATCCAGTTACACATTAGTCTGATATAAAATAACTATAAAAATAGGAATTAATAAAATTATTAAATGAAAATAATATATAAATAAGTAAATAAATGTAGGCCTATTTACATATTTGCACTTGTAAGGAATATAAAATATAACAGTAAAATAGTAGGCAGGTAATAATAATATTAAAAAAAATTATTATATGTTTGTTCACACATATATATATATATATATATATATATATATATATATATATATATATATATATATATATATATTCTGAAGTTCGATATTTGAGGAGATGAATACATAATTAGTTTTTAAATCAAGATAAATTTGAGGTTTTATGTACGGAAATGGAAATTCTAAACCAAGCTGCCATGGATGATAAAGAATTTTTTAAAGGAACAAGTTCCATGAGAAAAGGAATATACCAACTTTGTGGGCCGTGACACTGAACTGGGTGAAAAGTATTTTAAAAAAACATTATTTAAAACAAGAAGTATTTTGTTATTCTAAAAAGCAATTTTTATCACCCAGTATTTCAATTACTACTTACTTCTAAATTACTTCTCCTAATTATTCAACTTAATAAGTATTTAAAGTTAAAATACAAAAAAATTATTCATTTAAATATTTGGTGATTAAAATTATATTTTAAAAATACTTGGTATTTTAAACAAAGTATTTTAAAATACATTTTTGCCCAAGTCTGCTGTGATCTTGGGTGGAATGCATAGTCGTTCCGTTGAAAAGAAATACTCTTAATGAAAAAGAACTCCTTTCAACCAATTTAATGTTTCTTCTTCTCTCAAACATTGGTGAGAAAACGCGTTATCATTGAGCATCGAGTAAGTAAGTAAAATATTGTTTTATGGAAGATCCTCTGCAACCAAATTGGCTTAAAGTTGTATTTTTTCCATCAAGTTCCATTAAAGTATTCCTGTTTGAAGTTTCAAGTGGAGTTAGAGGAACGACCGTTCATAGCACCCCTAGTATTTAAAGAGTGGACAAAGGAACAATGGGTAAACCTATCGAGAATGTAAGGAGACCTTTCGATCAGACAAATTCTACAATGTGTGGCTATAATCAGCCCAGCAAATTATTATAGTAAATATTACGGTACTGACTCCAAAATTTCGTTACAATATTAATACCATACATTGGATAGTCACTAGTTAAATATCTAAATTCCATTGTAGACTGTAGTGTAAGGTACATATACCCTTTTAAGTTTTCTTTTAACTTAAAATTGATTGTCAATTTTCTTTTTTCTTTCAGATTGTTGGAGGGTGCGGGCAGGATTAGCGGACCGTGGGGTGGGGGCCCCGTGGCCGATCCGGGCCCGGGCTCTGAGAAGGGCAGCCTGGAGGTGGCCGAATCAGAGGACGACAAGGAGTTGGCAGCAGCTGACGCTGAGGGAGTTTGGAGTCCAGACATTGAGCAGTCCTTTCAGGAGGCACTCGCCATCTACCCACCATGCGGCAGGCGGAAGATCATCCTCAGCGACGAAGGGAAGATGTACGGTAAGTCATCTTCTGGATATTGTTTTCTATGGATCGTCAAAATATCGTCAACTTTCCTAATAGAGGTCAGATTTTGCTCGACTAAGAGAAAGAACTACAAGAACTGTGTTGAGTTACTAACTCACACAGCATAGTCATGAGTCCAAGAGACATTATTTAAAACTAGAACAAAAGTTAGTAAGGATCATTTCACCATAGTAAATATGTTTAAAAAAACAGTATACAGTAACGAACAAGCGAAGGTAGTAAAACTTGGTATATGTGGTGATGGAGGATCCTCAACGACTCCAAAATAATAGCCTCCACCATTGTCTCCATCTGGTCCCTGCAAACCCCGACCTTCTGCAAGAAATCACTTGTAGTAGTGTTGGTTCCCCTACTTCCATATCACATCCCTTTAATTTAGAAGTTTCTCTCTCCGAATTCATTCCTATATTTTACTTTTAAGTAGGGTATGCATTTCTTATAAATTTCTTCTTTCTCTCCTTGCACCTTAAAGTCCGGGTCTTGATGACTCGCATCAATCCTGATCGTGGTATAAGCCACAGGCGGATCTACGGGGGGGGGGGCTTTCGGGCTGAAGTCTCCCCTCCCCCCCAAAATGGTACAATATAGCCATGTTTTACAGAAAAAAATATTAAAAACTATCTCTTAAAGTATTATTGTTCGTGTAATTATATTTAATAGGTCTTCAAGAACCACTTAAACACCATTTCATACAGGTAATTAATTTCTTTATTTTTTTTCAAATTAATTAAAAAAATCTTCCGGGCTGAAGCCCCCCAAAATGAAATCCTGGATCCGCTAGTGGTATAAGCAGCTCCTTTTCTGTTACTTTAAACGCTAAAATTTTGCTGTCTTCTGTATCCAGACAATTGCCTCAATTTGTTCAAATAAATGGATTTTAAGGTTCAATATTTTCGGGTAAGAAATTAATTATTGTTTAGTTGGTTCAGACCATAGCAGTTTTATCGTCATTATGTTAAGTTCAAAGTGAAGGAAACTAAAATAATACAAATTAGTTCGGACTTTTCGACATATTGTATTTGTCGGTGTTCTTTAGTATTAATGATCCCATAATACAGAATTAATTTCCGATGTTTTTGAAGATAATTTAATTTCTTTCAAGTAAAAAATTAACACAAGGTTAAATTGAAAATAGTTTTTGGCGAAGTCATAGTGCGTTGTTTCTATATACTTGGGCTCATATTCAACACGTTTTTTATAAACATGGTGTAGTTAAAAAATTATATATGAAAGCTACCATCACAGCCTATGAAGAGTCTCGGATTTAGAGTTTGTGAAGACTTTTCTTGAAGAAGTTGTGTGGCAAGCGCCTTCCCTCAATCTTCGGGTTGTTTCCTCACCGACCTCCGAAGAGTGTGCCTTCTTGATATTGTTCCGATCTCAAAGTCGATCCATGGTCGATTTAAAAAAAAAGAAAATCTGTTCCACCGACCAGGGTGCTGTCCCATTTGGTTATTTGCTTTGATGTTATTGAACTCCCCAACATTTATTATTTTTTTATAAATGTGAGTAGTTATAAAGAAGCTATTTTTTTTTCTTACTGCTTCATTTACACAAAAAATATTTTGGAATTATAGCACAATCATGGAAAACCTTGTTCACAGCATTCTTTCTATTTTTGTACGCCAGTCAGTTTCTTAAGTAATTGCGTTAGTGCCCATAATTTTCATTTTTTTTTTTTAGGTTTTTATTAAATGATTTATATCTCTGTATCTATGAATGTTATATCGACTCCAGAGGTATTGCGTGTATGCATCTTTCAGAACCTTTTTGTACGTACTTTTTGTTTTCTTCTATGCGTCTTCCACGATTCTCTTCCAACGATGATCGTGCAACTATAGCCGTGGTGCACTCCCTGGATTTCACTGGAAATACTATAGTCTTATCGGCAGGCGCCCAAATCAGCTTCTACGGAATCTACTGATATAGTGCTCTACGATAGTTGAACTAAAATTGTGATAGTCTCGCCAAGCAAAACGTACCTTCAGTAATCCTTCGTTCTTTTTTTTATGTTGGTTATTGAACACATCCGTACCTTCAGGATGACAAGTCAATGGTTTGAATGATTTCCGAAAGATACTTTTCTAGATTTAAACTTTTATTATCTTACTTCTTGTATGGCTATATCCTTAGATAGGTTTACATTAGTCGCTGTCGCCGTGTTTCATCATATATTAGTATATAAACTGTTTTCTATTTGTAAAAGTTTTAGCTTGATTAATTAATAATTTAACATTTTAACCGGTGCACAGCGAGCAAAATTTCCTCATTACGTGGATTAAATTCTATAATGTATTTTAACTAGCGGTACAATGTTATATAGTTTAATTAATATAGTTTTGTTTATTTAATAATCAATTAAATTAAAATTGTATTGTGATTTTACGCGCTCTTATTGTTAGTAATTGTTTTCCTTGAATAAACTAAAAATCATTAAAAAAGATCAGTAAACAAAAAAAAAAATAGTAAAAATAAATAATTATATTTATTTTTATTTTTGCCGACGTTTCGGCCCAAAATTCAGGCCTTCATCAGGGATAAGAAAACCCCAGATAACAATAGGTATGAGAAACTATAAACATTGAATAATAAAGACCAAAGTTCACTCTATCTACTTTATTTTACTTCAAGTTTATTCTTACTACATTTTTTAGTCTATACATTTCACCTTTTTAATTTTAATTCTTTATTATTCAATGTTTATAGTTTTTCGTACATATTGTTATTTTTTTTTTTCTAAACCCCGATGAAGGCCTGAACTTTGGGCCGGCAACAATAAAAATAAAGATACTTATTTATTTTTACTATTTTTTTTTTTTTTTTTTATTGATCCCCCAACCATTATTCTCTTCAATTATTCACTACAGTCAACCATCGATCCATAATTAAAAGAGAAGTTGTTTGATTAATATGAAAGTGGTTTTTAATCAATTCAATATTTAATAATATTCAAACAGAAAGGCTTTAGCGGTAATGTCGCTGGTTAAATTTTATAATTATGCTTCCCCATCGTTTGTGAAATGTCTAAACGCACTTCAAGTTTAACATCTTCAATAGGCAACTCTATCAACTCTGCTATTAAACAAATATTGAATTTATATGAATAGAAATAGGAAATTTTGTAAATCACTTTACTTCGTTTTTCTAAGTAATAAATCATTTTTTTCCACACTTGATCTTTCCATTATATTTTTACTTCGTGAAATTGTAGTCATTTTTTTTATTTATTGTTTCTATTTATTTTATGGTTGTACGACATTTTAAATACAAGACTGTTGATCTCTTGCTATTAAATATATATATATATATATATATATATAAAACGCAGCATTAAATCGTAACTTCCTATACTATACAACTATACATTAAAAAAAGAATAAGGAATAATAAGAGCTTAAGATTTAAATGGGACTTGAAGCCCCCAATCCTCCTTCCCCCCCCCCCCAGTGACAAGTTGTTTTCTTGATTACTTGAGTTTGACGCGAGTCCCAGACCCCAAGTAACGGCACTTCATAATGACCTCAGCCGCTTTTTAGAGCTTCCATGGTCCAACAGCTGCCATCAAAAGCGTTTCAAAAGCGTCAACAGTTTATAACTTTACCTTAATGGATTCATTTATTAATTTATTTATAGGTGAAATAAAAATTAAATTGAGTGAATTAAAAATTAAATGTGATTTTTCATGAATGAGTGTTGTTTTTCAGATAAAACTTTCGAAAAATAATAAATAAATAAAACGTCGCATTTTTAAAATCCTTCTTATATCACTTTCAGAAGGCTAAAATTTTAGTCTCCCATTTGGAACCTGCACCACAGCGATACTCAGTGTGTCCCGTAAGTAGAGGGAAATTTTTTATAGAGACCTCAAGGCCTACAAAAAAGTACATATAAACAATGGGCCAATTCTCAGAAGAAAAGTAGGAAATCCAAGTTTAGTGCTTTTTAATTAAATCGTGCTGTTTGATGAATAGGAAGCGATAACTAAATAATATTAAATTTAAGTAATTGACTATTGTTTCACTGTAAACTGGATACTTTATTTTTTCAAATGAAAATAGAGATTGTCATTGTTAAAATCATTTAAAGACAACTTTTGAGCAGTCAAACTAGGTTGTTTGGTTTTAAAAAAAAACAAACATAAATAATTGGCGATTTTTTAAAAAAATCATTATCAAACTGTACTATATATACCCCACTTTTAGAAAATATTCGTTTATTAAGCTTCAAGTCCATATTAATTAAATTGAGACTTATTAGGGAAAATTCTGGAGATTCGCGTCTGTCAAGAAAGAGTACTAGGTGACGGATCTACTCGACAAAGATAATTAGAATATTTTTAAAGAATATTGTAGGACTGGGTGTTGTAGGTTCACGATGAAAAAAAAAGAAAAAAAAAAAGAAAGAAAAATATTTAAAATAATGAGGATAGGTTTACACTGAAATATTACCAGCAAAATGACGAGTCATTCACAGTTTGCTCATATATTAGATATTAACCTTTATATTATATTCAAAAACTACGTCTCCGAAAACATATAAACGAACCCTTCTATATCTATATCTAAGAAATCCGAAAAAATAAAATAAAGCGAAACACAATAGCGTAATATTAACATAGATATTATATTAAAAAATTGCGTCTCCGAGAACGTATAAACTGAAACTTATATCTAAGAAATCCGAAAAAAAATAAATCGAAAAACAATAGCCTAATCTTAATATGGATATTATTTTCAAAAACTACATCTAGCAACATTAGCAAAACTAGCATTTTAGTTATCAACATTTTTATGGCTATCTCATACATCGGTGAATAATAAAATGTATGAATATCGCTATTAACGTGCTGTTCAGATTGGAAATTAATGAACGTTATTAGCGAAGTTATTAATGTTTTATAAATTTTAATTTATGAAAAAAAAGTAACTATGTTATTATCATAGTTATGAAAAAATATTTTATTAAAATTTTCA